TGAATCTGATTCACACCAACATTTGAGAACACCGTTATAGAACATCTACTCAAGCCTATAAGTTACAGGCATCCAGACTCATCCTATGTCTTTGGGGGGCACCCTAACAGGCCCCAGAGAATGTACATGGCCATGCATTCCCTTACTCCTCGCTCTGACATTCCAAGGACACACACAACCGTAGAGGACTCTGGAAAGCTTAACTCTATCACTCGCAACATAACAATGAGATCGATTCATTTTTACTTCATTAGACAAACTCCCATTTCTTCTTCCCATGGCTTTATTCTTCTTTTTTTTTTTAAAATATATTTTATTGATTTTTTACAGAGAGGAAGGGAGAGAGATAGAGAGTTAGTAGAGAGTTAGAAACATCGATGGGAGAGAAACATCGATCAGCCGCCTCCTGCACATCTCCTACTGGGGATGTGCCCGCAACCCAGGTACATGCCCTTGACCGGAATCGAACCTGGGACCCTTTTTTTCCTATAAGTTACAGGCATGCAGACTCATCCTATGTCTTTGGGGGGCACCTAACAGGCCCCAGAGAATGTACATGGCCGTGCATTCCCTTACTCCTCGCTCTGACATTCCAAGGACACACACAACCATAGAGGACTCTGGAAAGCTTAACTCTATCACTCGCAACATAAAAATGAGATCGATTCATTTTTACTTCATTAAACAAACTCCCATTTCTCCTTCCCATGGCTTTATTCGTTTTGATAACTCAAGCTAGTCATGCATTGTTGGGTTGTCCCTTTGTGTGCAAATTACTAAGGTTAATAAAAACTACCTTTTAACTCAGATTCAATTAGCATGCATTTTTTTTTTAGAGACCCATTTCAACTGATTATAATTTTGCTCCATCATGCTGGTTTTTACTGTAGAAACCTCTCAGCCATTTTCCTATGTATATCCCCATCCTCACCAAGTAGATGTTAGTATTATATAGATATTCACAGACCGGTCTACAAAACATATAGCTTTTATATTGCATCATCACTTGTTTTTAGGAAAAGCAAGTCCATCCAAAATGTGATATGGTCACAGTTATGTGCTGTTTAATGCTTTTTAAGTGGGGTGATGATTTTTCAGCGATAGTGGCTCGCATGCAAAAAAAGTCACTCACTAAAATCACATGACTTCCCGATGATTAGAGGGAATCTCAGATGGAGGGGATTGAATGGTGACCCTCAAAAATGATATGTTCATGTTCTAACTTCTAGAACCTGCACATATGATCTTATTTAGGAAAAAAGGTCTTTACAGATGTAATTAAGTTACAGATCTCAAGATGAGATTGTCCTGATGAGGATGGACTCTGAATTCAATGACAGGTTTTTAGAAGAGAAGGGAGACATAGACCCAAAGGCACAGGAGAGAGGAGCATGAGGACAGCGGTAGCATGAGAGGGACGCATCCACAAGTCAGGGGACACAGGATTGCCAGCAACCACCAGAAGCCAGGAGAGAAGTGCGGGGCCCATTAATTTTCAGAGCCTCCAGAAAGAGCCAACCCTGCTAACACCTTGATTTGGAACTTCTGGCCTCCAGAAACTGTGAGAGAATAAACTTCGATTGTTCTAAACCTCCAGGCTTGTGGTAATGTGTTATGGCAACTCTAGGAAACCCAGCTCATTGCACCGGCTCATTACAAATAGCTTCTACTGGTTGTAGCTGCCAACATTTACAAAACCTGGGTTTGAGAAACTTTCTTAAGGAACTAAGTTAAGGAAGGCTTAACACCAAGTTGCTGAATTTCTGTTTTTAATACCATAAGTCATACGCCTTTAAGCAAGCAACACTCATCAAAGGACACATTAACACAGTTTTCAGAGCAGGAGATACATCCATTAGCTTTTCATTCATTGGACAAATGTGCATGTGGGCAAAGCACCATCAGTGTGCATACAGTGTTCAGCCAGTTAGAAAACCTTGACAGTCACAGAGTAGTAGGTGAATGGCTTACAGCAGTGATTTGTCAACCTTTTTCATCTCATGACACACATACACTAATGACTAAAGTTCTGCGGCACACAAAAAAGTAACTGGTAAAAGAAATGCAAATATAACATCATTAGGATACCACTTTGTACCCATGGGATTGGCCCCGAAAGTAGAAATCTGGTGAGAAATAGGGGAAATCGAATTCTTGTTGGAGTCTAGACTGACATGAGCCATTCTAGGGAGTGAGTCTGGAGGGCCATTCTGGAGAGCACATCCAAGTAGGTTTCTCTGTGATTAACCAGCAATAAGGGTCCAGGAATAAGGAGTTTTATTTAAAACAAAACAAAACACAAAATCAAACTGCCTTTGTTCTATTCTGGATTATTTTCAGCTTGTTGGTTTTATGGACTTTCTTTTCTTATTATTTGAATTATGGATAGAAAAAGCAAATAGGAGTACCACTCTCAACCTCATTCACAAAACAGAATGAATTTTATTCATAAAGAGAAAGTAATTACAGTTTTGGTGAAGGATGACGTGAATTTAGGTTTTGTGACAAGTGAGGAGTAAACAGTTAAAATGATTACATATGTGAACTTTAGGGAAACAGACTACAAAATTTTAAAGCGTTAGCATAGGGAACTCGGGACACCACCACCCTGGAGTGTTCTGGCAATGTCACAGGACAGGGGATGAGGAAACAACCCTCTGACCAGTAATATGGCAGATTCTGTAGACAATGAACACTTTGTACACCCTGGAAGTCAGCTGTAGTAACTAACTCCTATCCTAACTCAGAAGGGAAATTGTAAGAGGTCTATTTGTTTTATAAATATCATCATAATTGAGTCTTCCTCTGATCCCCTGTGTGGGGTGGGCTGTGACTGCACAGAGTAAGTGTACGGGGCCTAATTGAGAAGGATGTGGTGGGTCATGGTGAAAGATTTAGCCTTAGGAAAAATTATGAAAAGCTCATGGTCATCGTTTCATTTTAGAAAAGTTATCGTGGAGGCTTAGAGAGGAAGAACATGGGTGATTAGGTGACCAGTTTGTGAATAAACCTGGCCTCGAAGAAAAGCAGAAGGGTTGTATCATGATGCCAGCCAAGCAGGACGTGACGAATGTTTATGTAGTGCCCAAGGGACAGAATTAAGGTAGGAAGTCATTTCTAAGGAGGTCAAGAGTAGGGAGGGAAAAAACCTCAGATGGCAGCTGTAAGCTAGAAACCACAGGAAGTAGTGAGCAGTAACACTGGGAATATCATGTCCAGACCTGCAGGCCAACTGAGGCCGTGACCGTGGAGACAGTGAGCAATGAAGATTTTTATCACAGGTGTGTTTGTGGTACCAGAGAGCTAGACTACCAAAGGGCCCACCTCTGAGGAGAGGGAATGAATTGTGACTGGTGGTCCCCATGGAATTCTATGTAGCTGCATTTAGATTGGGAAGGGCCAGAGTGAGGCTTGCCAGATAAAATACAGGGTGCCCAGTTAAATTTGAATTTTTGATGAAGAAAAAATACTTTTTTTTGATAAGTATATCCCAAATACTTGCTAAATCTGGCAACCCTACCCATAGCCCAGTACAATTTGTGAAAATGAAAGCTATGTATGCAGGCAAATCAACCAAAGGCTTTTAAACATATAGATGCCCTGGCCGATGTGGCTCAGTTGGTTGGAGTGTCGTCCAATATACCAAAGGGTAGCAGATTCCATCACTGGTCTAGGCAAGTGCAGGAGAATAAATAAGTACTACACAAATAAAAGAATAGAGAGCCTTGGTGATACTGAGCTAGGTATGATTCCCTCAACCTCTCCCGAATTTCCTCCGGAAGTCCTGATGACACTGCCTGGCTGATGAACAGAATATTCTATTTTACGAATCAATCCGTATGGAATACCCTGGCATTCCCAGCAAACTTAAGTGGCAGGAAAGTGAGTAGGAGAAGGAATGGGTAGGAGACAAGGGACTCAGAAGGGAAAGCATAATTTTATAAACTGAATAAAAAATGACACTAATGAGCAAATCAGTTAGGCACTTTGCTTCACCTAAGATGTAGTCTTTTAATAGAGGAACACGGCTACCTTCTTATAAATATTAGTGAAAGGCTACCAGCAAGTATAAATCCGTAGCTATTGCCATAGAAACGGCGAGAAGAAGAGGCAAAGTTTCAGGTTCCCCATTGGAAAAATGACAGTTCTACCCATGTCACTGGGTAACTCTGATTCTTAAAACCATTTTCTTTTCTAACGTTGCAGCGGATTACAAGGAGAGCTTTAATACGATTGGAAACATTGAAGAGATTGCATATAATGCGGTTTCCTTCACCTGGGACGTGAATGAGGAGGCCAAGGTGAGTGAAAAGGAGCACGGATTCATTGTTCAAACTTCTAAGTAATGTGCACTTTCTCTGCAGGTGATTTTTTTTTTTTACAACAGGCTTTATAGGTAGAGAAAGATCTGTTAACTTGAGCCAGAGCAAGAGGAAGTGAACCCATTATTTTTCTCTAGAAGTCATACACATGCAATTCTGTGGAGCAAAATTGCCTTTTTGGGGGGTGAGGGGGGAGCAAAGGACGGGTACCTGTGCCTCTGTGGCCTCCTGAGGGATGCCTCCAAAGCCTCTAGGCTCCATTTTAGCTCTTGGGCTTGGCAAAGAGTGGCCACAAAACCTTTCCAACCTGCACTGTAGATTCTCCTGAACCCCTTCTCACTGCAGCCTTCTTCAGGGAGAAGGGGTTCAGAGCTCATGCTTCACAGGTACGTGCCTGGAAATGTCTCCTGACCCCACGATTCCTCCCAAGTGTGTAACCTGCTGGAGGGAGGGGGCAGGAAGCAGGGCCGCAGGCCTCTGAACTCACTTCCCAAGGTTCCCCACCGCTGTGACCTTGAGCCGTTTTTTTCCTTGTTGACTGCTTAAGCTTTCTCGCTCTCTCTCTGGTGCCAGCCTAGTTTAAAAGGGCAAGAGCCAGGCCTCCAGCAGGGTGTGCCCGGGGGGGTTCCGCCGTTGACAGGTGCACAGGTGAGACTCGCCAGTACTCCCGTTTGCTTTGGGGCCGGGAGTCTCTGGGTGCATGAAAACTCCAAACTTCTGTCTGCGCTCTTTTTTTCCGTGTTGGATAGCTTCTGACTCTTGATCCTTCTTTTGCACTAAAGAGAAGTTTCCAGATGAAACCTAAGTTTGTTTTGTACTTCAGTTATGTACCATCTAGATTCCAGGAGGGCGTTACACAACTTTGTCTTCAAACTAATGAAAAGGTCAGTGTAAACAAGTCCCTTCAATGCTGTATTGTCTGCAAGCGGGGAAGGCTGGGTGAGAGAGGAAACTGGATTTGAGTTTGCGGGCAGGACTTATGGAGGAAGATGAATTGCTCACTGTCTCATTCCGCTCACGTATAAAACAATGTAAACGAAACTGGCTTTCGGCCCAAGAAAGGTGACTTAAATGGGCAAGCAGCGAGCGTGCCAGGGAGCTAGAAGGAAGTGGGCCTCAGAGCAGCGGGGAGTCAGTCAAATGCAGAGCTGTAGGGAAGCTTCTTCTAGGGTCCGTTCACCTCCATTTAAAGCTCCTTGTCCAGGGCCGGCCGGTGTGGCTCAGTGGTTGAGCATTGACTTAAGAACCAGGAGGTCACAGTTCTATTCCTGGTCAGGGCACATGCCTGGGTTGCAGGCCCAGTGCGGGGTATGCAGGACGCAGCCGATCAATGATTCTCTCTCATCACTGATGTTTCTACCTTTATCTCCCTCTCCCTTCCTCTCTGAAATCAATACAAATATATATATTTTAAAAAGTTTCTTGTTCAAGCCCCAGACTTTCCCTTCGTCCTCTTCTCTCAGAGGCTGGGGTACTGGGCTAGGCAAAGAAAAGACTTCGTGCAAGGCACAGCCGGCCTGGGGTTAGAATCCTTAGCAAGTCATCTTACCTCTCTGGGCCTCACTCAGCTCCTTTAATAAAAATAAAAAACAAAATTAAAACAAACTTTTCCAAATAAACTCTGCCGTGCCAAGTCTGGTGTGTGATGTGTGAAGATCCAGAGCTCTGGGGGAGGGCAGGGGAACCAATAACCACACGGCCGCGTGTGGGGCGCGAGGGGCAGGCCTTTCACAGTCACGGGGGAGACACTGGCGTCCTATCCTCGGAAGCGCCTTGCCAGCCAATGTAAAGGAGCTACAAATGTGAGCTGTAATCACAGCCCTAACGTTCATTACCATGTAGCCTGTGCTAACGAGTGCTAGTGGGTGAATGCCTTAATGGTTATGTGCCAGTAGGGACCCTTTAAAGAAAATGCCAAAACCGAAGGGACAGCTTGAGTGATAGAGGCGCTGAGGTGCCACAGCGAGGCAGTGAATTTGGGTGGAGTTGACCCTTCTTTCAGCCTCGTTAAGACAATTCCATGCCGCACCCGGAGGCAGAAGCTCACGTCTCTTGTTCGAACACGTTGGAGCATGTGTGCTGTTCCAGCATCACAGGTTTAGCTCACAGAAGCTTCTTGTAGCAACATTTGCTTCTTTCTTTAATCTATATATTTTAGTTACTAATACTTGATTATTGCAATTGTATGCAGTCTGGGTTAACCAATAAGTAAAAAAAATAGTTTCTAATAATTTCCCCCAAAGGACTGGAAAGGCTTTTAAAGAAAAACCATAAAAATCAAGTCTGTTTCATTAGTGAGGCCAAGAAGATATTTTTTCATCAACTCGGAGCCTAAGAAATTTCTTTAAAATGTTACTGATTTTAGCCCTGGCCGCCGTGACTCGGTTGGGCATCATTCTGTGCACCATGAAGTTCCCGGGTTCCATTCCCTGTCATGGCACATGCCTGGGCTGCAGGCTGGATTGCCCACAGGGGACGCATGCCTGGGCTGCAGGCTGGATTGCCCACAGGGAACGCTGCAGGAGGCAGCCCATAAATGTTTTGCTTTCATATCATTGTTTCTCCCTTCCTCTCTCTCTAAAAGTCAATTAAAAAAATCTTTAAAAAAACTAGGGGGCAGATGCTCAATGCAGGAGCTGTCCCATGGTGGTCAGTGTGCTCCCACAGGGGGAGCTCTGCTCAGCCACAAGCTGGACTGACGGCTGTGAGTGCAGCAGCGGTGGCGGGAGACTCTCCTCATGAATGCTAAGAATGTCTGACTGCAGCTTAGGCCCGGACATAAGCCGTCAGTCGGACATCCCCTGAGGGCTCCCAGGCTGCCAGAGGGATGTCTGACTGCCACCTTAGGCTTGATCCCCTGAGCAGGCTCAGGAACCCCTCTGAATGCATGAATTTTCATGCACCGGGCCTCTAGTTTTATAATAAGCAGACTGCATAAAACAAAGCATGTGGTTGAGTAAAAAAGTTTTTTAACAAAACAAGAAGTAAAAGACGTCTCTCCCACAGTGGAATTGTTTGTGATTTTCATATCATGGACTTCTCAGGAGCAGTTGAATTTGCTTTTGAGTTCCTATTGGCAGCATCTACACAGAAATTTCTTGTAGGCTTCAGGGCTGGGGCCCCATTTAGTGTCATGTGATGCTTTGGTTTATGTGACCAGAGGACACAAATTGTGGCCTGCAGCCTTCATATGGTCCACAGAACATATATGTATATGTAGCATACATTTACGTATTTTATTTCAAAAATTTAATTTTTTTGCCCACATTTAATAATCAGGAGGTTACTTTAATCTGCTGCCAGAGGGATGTCTGACTGCCACCTTAGGCTTGATCCCCTGAGCAGGCTCAGGAACCCCTCTGAATGCAAGGCCCCAATCCTCATCCCTCAGACAGCCAAATATGCAGTTTATTGCATATTGGGGAATGTAATGACACGTGGAGATTGACAGAGTAGAGCTGAGAGAAATGGGACCAGGATCCCCG